CACATTGGTGCATAATGATTACAGTTTTTAGGGGTGAAAGTGCTACAAGTGGCACTCTTATATTTTATTTTTCCTCAGATTGACAAAATATTTTTATTGATTTGTAAGGCCTTATTGCAAAACCGTTTTAAAAAGGTAAAGCTGTCTAGCCAAAGTATTTTATTTAATATTTGTATTACTTTTCAAATAAGAATGGTTTCCAAACAGAAAATGCTCTAGTCAGTCTGAGACTTGAGGTTTGTTATTATGTGAAAGATATTCTGAAGTGCAAGTGCTTTTTGGGTTATTTAAATGTCTTAAAGTTAGATCGAAGTTGTTAAAGCAATACAAACGTGTGCTCAATTGTGCCTCTGATGTAAGGGGCTCAAGTTGTTTGTAGATTTGACAGTTATTCATTAGAAACCCTATGCAAGAATGTGACCAGTGTCCAGAAGCCTTAAGTAGAACATATTCTCTGAATTCAGAGCTACACAAGTGTAATAAGCTGTGGAGACAAAGGTGTTGTATATAATCACATTTTAAGATAGTCAGCTTTGTTCTCTCTTCTAGTCTCTTTATAAGAGATTCATGTGTATGACCCCTTTCGGGTCAAACTGTTGACTCCATTTAAACATGTTTTTTGTATTTAGTTTGAATTTTAAAGGTATAATACATTTTGTTAGTGTTCAAACCCCATTCATAAGTGTTACATATACATGGCTCAACAGCAAAGCTTTACTTGCCTTTTGTTGTTATACTTCTCTGTGTTTTTACTTTTGCAAAGACTGCATGTCTGTGTGGAAATACAAGAGGTGTATTTATTCTATGCTGATAGACCAGTTACAACCTGTGTGAAATGTGGTCAAGTGACTGTTTTTGTTTTATTTCAATAAAAACTTAAGTTTAAGTCAGTGTTTCTTTTAACAATGCATTTTGAGTAAGACGGGTATATGACGCCACCTTGTGGTTAGTAATAGATTTGTTTTCTACATATAAAACACATCTGAAGGGATTACGTTTGGAATGTAACCATGACTTTACTGTCATATTTTCATATATTTAATATGTTAAATGTGTCTCAGTTGGGGAATAACATGTGTGGTCATCTTTTTAATAGATCCATGGCTTTAGGTCCGTACCGTCCATTTGTGACGTGCACATGCAGTGTGAGCGTGAGTCATTATGCGAGTCACATGATCACAACCAACAAACCTGATTGGCCGTAAGGTCTCGTGTTTAGCCAATCAGAGTCGCGGAGGGGCGGGTTTACAAACGTTCTCTTTTGGCGTGAAGTTCCATTCATGAATGTGTCATGATCCAACCATATGGTACCGCCGGAGAGGGGAGACGAGTACGCGGACAAAATATCCAAGGTATGGCAACACTTTTGTGAATGATAACGTGGGCAAATAATTGGTATTGATATATGATGAAAAAATAAATTGTGTAATAAATTGTGTTTATGCGTTGGCAACATAGCATCTCGGCTACTTGGTGCTAACATGCTAGATTTAATGTTCATAAAGTGACAAAAACATGTTTGAAAGTAATAGACCATTGAGCATTTTTACGCGGCCTATTTTATATATTAAGTTCTAGAGAAATATTGCTTTATCTGTATTTGTGCTGGAGTTGTTTGACAGCGTGGTCTACCGGAACTGGTGCGTCATAGCCCGCCTTGTGGAACAACTGTAATCCATAGAGGCGGGTTATAATAAAACATAGAAAACTTAAAAAAAAAAATAATAATAATAATAATCCATAGAGGCTGTTGTTTACCGAAACTGTTGTTAACCTAGCAAATTATTTAAACAAAAATATCTTCAACATTTGGTTGCTGTTACCAACCACAATTTTTAGCAGGATCCCCGGTGATCAGGAGGATCTTAAAAAAAAAACAAAAAAAAAAAAAAAAAAAAAACGATCTGTAAGTATTAGAAAAGTGATTGGATCATTTTTTTATTGGTATTTTAAATATAGTGTTTTACTGTATACTGTTTTTTGTAGTTATGCAAATGCAGTGTAATATAACCAATGCTAAGGAGTGTTTTATGTTGTTGCAGAAACTGTCCAATGTGAAGACAATTATCTAAAAAATGAAGAAAGAAATTGCAGTTGTAATATTTTTTCTAAAAGCTTATCTAAAGAAAAGCAGTCATGATTCAGAGAAGATTGACCTTTTCGTTGAGAGACTGGCTGTCGCACTCCATGATAAATTCAAGGGGCACTGGTATCCTGACAATCCCAGCAAAGGCCAGGCATACAGGTAATGCCACACTATAGCCTACTAGAATATTATTGGATGCTGATAGTCACTGGACAAAACATGAAGTATAACATGACATTTGAATTTCGTTCCAGGTGTATACGACTTAATAAATTTTACACACAGGACCCAGAGATTCTTCGAGCTTGTCAGGAAAGTGGGATTGAGTACAAGGATCTTAAACTGCCAGATGAGCTAACATTATGGGTGGATCCTGGCGAAGTTTGTTGCAGGTAAGATTTTATTTAATTTATCTTTTTTTTTTTTATGGTCTGCACTGTTCTCATGACTAGGTTAGACTGTGATCACCACCTTCTATGGTCTAGAACTAATTAAGCAATAAATTAATATTTAAAAAAAAATCCTATATACATTTTGCCCCTGGATTATCATAAATGTATGAAGTAACTATTTCATCGTAGACCAGTCCTATTCTTGGAGAAGACTTTTAACTCAATATAATCAAAAAAGTATTTCCTGTGCCACCATAGTTTATACCCCTGTGGAAAACACTTGGTTTGGTTTTCACTGTTACTTATTTTCTGTTTTAGATATGAGGAGTACAGGCACTTCTTCCCTTTGGCTACATTGTCCAAAGATGAGGATGAAAAAGAACTTGCAAAGAAGGTGACCAAAGCCCTGGAGAGAGTAACGTCAGACTACCACTCTGGTTCTTCTTCTGATGAGGAGACTTCACGAAAATCCACTTTTACGATACCAAACCGCTACTTTAATCCCAAGGTACAGTTATATTTATTTTATCAGATTATCATGTCATCTTGCCTATGTGTGATTAAAGCCACAAAATTGGTTGTACCACTGCTTGGTTTCCATGGTTTTGATCTTAGTTTCCAGGTTATGCTACATGGCAAATTTTTTAGTAAAAAAAGCAAAAAGACAAAAACCTAGTTTTTAATTTTGTAATTTCACTTCCTGGTTGAACTCGGGCTACAGATGTGACATGAGTAGAGGTAATTTGATAACTGTTACCTAGGAACCATAATAAGCTAACATCCGTAATTAGATTGGCTGCGCCGCCTGATGTATTCTCACTTTTCACCCCAGTAGCTATCTGCATTACTTCTGTCTTATAATGTGCCGGCTTTGGCCTGACTATTGATCTAATGGTGAAAAAAAAAAGGCTGATGGTAACTTTAACAAGGGCCAAAACTTTGCACAAAAAATGCAAAAAAATGAAAAAAATGGCACAATGACTTGAGAAAAAACTCATGTTCATTGTTCTGGTGCTGGTGCATGTGTGAATCAGGGTCACTACTGAGTGTGCAGATTTACTGGGAAGTATGTTTCAATGGGGCTTAATAATACTAATCTATTTATTATTCCATTGTATTTGTCTCACAGGCAAATAATTCGGCTCACTATCATTCCCAAAGGATGGAAAGAGGAAGTGGTAACATGTTTCCAAAGCCACCCCACATGTCAAGACCTCGTCACAGACCCGCGCCAAGCCACTGGATGAGACAATATATGTGGGCCAACGCTGCACAGAGTCAACACCATCATGGAAACTGGAGAGCTCCACCGATCTTTCATCAGTACTACTAAAAAGTACTGGCGACAGTCATTCACATTGGACATTAAACCTTGAAAACTCTAAAATGACTGACCAATGTTTTTATAACTAGGTTTTTATACTAATATTTTATAACAGTTTTTTGCACTTTAGACAATTTGTTAGAGTTTGCAAAATCACTTTTATAGGAGGGTAAGATTTTAGTCCTACATATGGAGCCAAGACGTACTGTATTTTTACAATTGTGAATTTTATTGTACCACTTTGTCCTATGAGCTAATATTTTATTTATTCGTTGTGTAGATCTCAAGGCTTAAAGTTAAGAAGTTTTCTAGAAAAGAATTCCCTGGCATCATGATTGTCTAGAAAGTACTGATTCTGTACATTTAGATCTGTCTGCTGTCTACTTAATGGAATTAATGAAGTCAATATTTAAAGATTTGTATTTCTGTATTGTTGATGTGGCATATATTTTGTTTCCACTGGTGCTCTATCAATCTATGTGTTACATGAAACTATTTTAGCACAATCAGTATTCAGCCAGATCAGTAAAATCTGCTGTTTGAACTGCTTTGTATTTTGTATTTAATGTTTATTGATATTTTATGTGGTAGACTGTAGATATATGTAGGAAGATTCCACAATCAGTCAACCCTTTTGTCATAGATAACCATTAACCTGATGTAGATTTAAGAACTATATCAACTATGTGTCCTATTTTAAACTTAGTTTAACCCTAATTAATACGTACACAATAAAAACTTGTGGAATTCTGGTGGTAGTCATATGGACTAGTATTTTCTGAGTTGGAACTTGAACAATAGTTCAGGGGTGTCCCTGATGGGTGGTGGCTTGAAGGATTTGTGCATAGTGGGCATAAAGCCCATTTGGCCTTCAGACCTTCTGAATTGACCCTGATGATGATAGGAGTACTTTTTACTGCAAATTGAAGTATTTGTACTGTAATACAGACCAACATGTAATGTTCCAAGCCTTATTAACAGTACAATGGTTATGTCAAAGCCAGTGTTGGAAGGTAACATTGTAAAAGCAATAACTATTTCAGCACAATTTCCAGGTCTGTCCTTTAAGTACATTTTACAGGGGGGACATTTTACTCTTACTACATTTGAGAGCAGTATCTGTACCTTTTACTCCACTTCATTTTTAATTGGACTGAAAAGTAAGAAAGTACTTTTGATTTAATTTAAGGGGTTATTTTGACTATGTTCATGGTAACATCCTGACTAAAAGTTTTGAGTACAAGGTTCAGCAAAAACAAAATCATCTAAAAAATTAAGAAATTGATTTGTATTCTTGACCAAAACTTAAATAATATCACTACATTTAAGACTTTAACAAATTAACAATACTTTTTACTTGAGTAGACTTTATCATGTGTTATTTTTTGCCTCTGTATCTGCACTTTTACTCAAGTAACAAAACTGAGTACTTCATCCACCATTGGTCAAAGCTGCTAAATGCACACTGTGACTCACACTATTGACCACCGCAGTGTGTCCTCTCATCTGTCTTTTGTTCTCGGTGTAACCTGCACGACTAGCAGCAGCCATGGAAATATAATGAACTCCATAGTACCAGCACAGAACCATAATTTAAAAAAATAAAAATAAAGATCCATGGTACCAGCAGGTGTCAGTGTTGCCTCTCCTCAGCGCGCCCATGTCACGTGACTCCCTGTGCGCGCTCCTCTGGCTCGCGTGCACGCTCACGGTGCACCTGCAGAGAGTGGAGAGAAGAGAAGAGGGTGGAGAGAAGAGGGAGAACAGAGGAGTGGAGTTTGGATGCTTCAGTCGAGCTAGATCACCGCTGACGAATTCAACAAAACTTGTCCGATTAAGTTTGTGAACAAGTGCTGGAGTATCAGACACAAAAATGGAGCTTTTGACGATGCGCTTCGACTACGTGCTGCTTTACCTCTTTATGGGTAAGTTTTTTTTACAGTTTAGTTTAGTATACTTTTACCACTACCGTCGTCCTCATGCGTACTGACCACTGGCTACTCTGACCGACTTATACTGTGGGAAAAACACAGATTATCGTCTTTTATTGTTCGGTATATGTAGATATTTTACAGATTCACGTGTTGTGTGTTGTAAATGTGAGTTTTAACATCTGTGGACTTGTCGCCGAGCGAAGGTCACTTGACAAGAAGCCAAAACAAACTAAATCGGGTGTTTGAAGAAGCATTATTATAATTTCACGTAATATTCTGTGATCTGGCGCGTATTTATAGTTATTTGAGCCCATGTTCTCTTGTAAAACTCCTCCTAACAGCGTAAGGAGCTTTTTTCTACGAGATGTCTGGGTTTTATCGCAGGGCACTTGAGTTTTGACAAAAGCCTGATCCGCTTTTAAAACCTGTAGCTGATGCACTTGAAATCTGCTCCTGTCTGCCATCTGCCCCGACCACCAGAGACCCCCAAATACTGAAGAAGAGATATTTAAGATCTATATTATATTACCTTTCTTTGAAGCAGTATTATAACAATCTAACAATATAAAAGTAAATAACCTGTTAACCTTTGTTCTAGTTTCTATGTCTATTCTAATTAAGTGTGTTTGTCATTTTAACTCGATCTTGTGAGCATAATTTATAATGTAGGCTTCTTTTGGCACATGTGTATGATAAGTATTTTTCTTTATTTAGCTGTATTATCCACATTTCCTGTGAGTTGGGCGTGACTTGTCTTCTCACTGGAATTTCGACTGAAACTGTCCAATCGCTCCTCCCACTCTGAACAATGATGTGAAACTTTTTTACTCTGCTCTATTTTTCCAGTGGTTCCAAATTGTATTCCCATACATTTTCCATAGAACGCTCTGATTGGCAGCCATAGAGCCCAGGACAGGACAGTGGCATTCCTGTGTGCTGATTAGTAAAAGCTTTTGTGACGAGGAAAGCTTTTGTTTTGTGTCTCCTAAACCCCTCAGATGAAAACGGGGCACTGGTGGTATATGGTTGGGAGACAGTGTGCGGTGTAGTGTGGTCTTTTGTTTCTAGCTTCACATGGTTGTGTACACTTTGAGGCTCATTACCATCTTAATGGCATCATGGCCCTGTCATTTGGATGCTGTTCCACTTCAGCACACAAGAACAATATTTGGCAGACTCATAACATTTTGTTCAGATGTGGTACAACATCGCATTAACCTCTGCTTAATGACAAAACATTTGAACGTTTTATTTCTTCAGCTCGTCTACTCTGATGTGTAAGTCTTTACGTAGTTTCACTGCACAAATGAAGGGAATGTCAATGTAACAATTATGATTCATAAAGACTTCCCTACAAAATAGTTTTACCACTGGTGTAGTTCTTCTATTTAGTCATGTTCATAGATTAGATACGAACAATCCAATGTCAGCATGTGAGAGATGCACTTACACTGCACAAGATTTGGAGAAATTTTTTAACATTATTAAAGTATTTTATCTTATTCTTCAATCATCTGTAATTTCCGTTTATAATTGAATAATTTCTAATAATTAGTAATTAGTTAAAATATATTCAAGCACCTAAAGTATTGACTTTATAATAACAAAAAAGTTGTTCAGTTAGAGTTGTTTTGAAAGACGTAAGTTTTGACACGGCGTTTCTTGATAAAAATAATATTGTAGTGTGTGAGGTTATGGCTTTCATTGTAGCGCTGTTCTGAAATCTACACCTCCAGTAGTGAGGTTACAACTGGCCCTCTTCATGGCAGTAAGAAATTTCCCCAAAAAACTTCCCTTTTTGTTAGTGTGATATCAGTATTGGTAAAGCATTTCCATGGTGGCTACCTGTTACAACCACTTTGCTAAACATTTACTTTGTTCTTCAATAATTTATTTTAAAATGTCTTCATCGCTGATTTAACACAGAGTTTACCTTGTCCTGGCCTCATATCCCACTCTGTGCGTTTGGGAGGAAGACGTAAAGGCAATACCTCAAACCCAAGACAAACAAACCTGGAGCACTATCAGCAGGCCCTGAATGCAGTTACCTGATAAGCCTCAGAGCAAAGGCCCTGACTGGAGCCCGTTGCCTGGTTACCTTTTGAAAACAGAGACACTTGTCGCAGCCAGCGTGCTCAGTTTACCCAGAATCCTCCCTTCCCCCTTCTCAAATGTACGTCATGTATAAGATCCTCTTTTACGACAAACCAGCTCCACTGTGTTTGGAACAATGGTGAACTCAAGTGTATTGTATTCATATCAGGTTAATGTTTATTCACAGCATTGACATTGTGGCCTGATTTGAGCTGTTTGCAAGTTTCATGAAGTCACTGGACAATGGAAAACTATTCATTACATTTGTGACTGTGTTAGTAGCATTGACTGTATAAAAAAGTGGACTAAGCAAGTGTGACGTCACCACTTAAATGAAGCTTGTGACGCTAACGGTTACAGGGGCCAATTTGGAGAAAGACTCTATATATGAATAGGATTTTTTTCACTGACAAAATAGTGAAGAAAAAAAAATCAGGATCTTGTAGAGTGGGTTAATACGATCATTTTAAGACCCAAATGACGAGGCTCACAGCAGCAGTTACAGAGAGAGGGGCGACAATATTCCCAATATTCCAGTGTAAGCCAATGGGAGCCAGGGTCAGTAGGAGCCGGAAGAGCCTGCATGCGAACTCCCCATTTGGAACCAAGTGGCGAGTGCGTTTAGCGATGTCTATTTATGTATACAGTCTATGGTCAGTAGGAGTTTAGGAGATATGGAGAATTCTTATAAGTTATGTTTTGGAATATTCTAGTAATAATAATTAGATAATGTTTTTTGCAAGGCATCAAAAGAAGCTTAAAATGTACCGTTTGTTGAGATTATTTCAGTTATAGCACAAGAAGTGAATAGAAAGTAAAACATGTCACGAATGCTTAGAAATTATTTGACTTTTTTTTTCTTAAACTATACATTACATTTTGCAGCGAGTAGTGTGCTATAAAGTTTCATCTGGTCTGTAAACCCACATAATTTTTCAGAAGATGCTCTCCTTTATGTTTTCGGCAGTCTCATTAATGTGAGATCTAATTTCATTTCATCTGTTTGTTCTCTTCATTTTAAGCATGCCGATGACACATCTTCTCTCTAAGCAAATAATCTTAATCGAGCACTTAATGTACCACAAACTTGAGTTAAAAATCTGCTATATTCAGTTCAGATTGTGCACAAAATATGTAGTGCCTCAGGAGTTGAGTTCTCCGCTGCTTTAAGCTTTTCTCATCAGAGTCAAACTGACAGCGAGGACTCGGGGTCACCGTTCCACACGCGCCGGTCAGGACCACCTGTCACGTCAGAGCACCCAAGGGTCTCAACATGTAGCACCCACAGCCTGTCCTCAGTCCAGCACCAGCACTCTGCCTCCAGCCGCTGTCCTTGGAAATAAAAGCAAGAACGCGTTGGATTGGCTTACACTCCAGAGACGCTGCTTTGTCCTCCACGCCTGATGATGGCAGCGACCGCACATGAATATTCACACGGACATTAATATTTTAACATGCCAGCGTTATAAAAGTCCTGTGCCAAGTCCTGTTCACCTTTCTCTGCGTGTTAAAGATGCACGATGTGATTTATTTCTGGTTCATCGCCTGCTTTTCTCCATGGATATGTTATTGCTTTGCCTGGAATATTCTACAGTATGCCATTAAACATGTGTATCTTCATAAAAACCAGCGTGTGGTGGCAGAAAGCAAAGTTACAGGTCAGATCTGTGGAGATGCGAGAGTGCTCACAGTAAAAATTAGTTTTTCAGTAAATCTTTGAGCCATAAAAACACCCATAATTCAGTCAATTCAAGTTTAAAGCCAGACAAAGCAATTACATCTCCATGAGAAAAACAAGTGGGAGACCCTACAGCACTAATGTTACCTAGTGCACCTTTAAGCCCTGATAACGCCTCTACCACGCTACATTATCCCACCTCCTACTTATTTTCCCTCCATTTCATCTCCGAATTACTGAATAGACAAATTGCCTTGTGGAGAATCTGGGAGCATGATTAATAGTGGCTCTTGTTTCTGAGTCCTGTTAATGGGTGCGCGGCCGCTCTGTATTCTGAGCTCATTTCTTTTTCACAGGTAGCAGAGTACAAGTGCCTCCTGGGCTGCTGCCAAGGTGTTATTATAGAAGATATATTGGCACCATTTTACTTGAGCCCCCTGGTCGTGAAGTCAATGTTACACTGACAGATATTTCACGTTCTATGTCTTCTAATTTCTCTAATGCTTTGACCTAAGTATTGACCTTCTGACCATTGGACCCTCAGTGGTATGTAAATCAAAGTTGCAATAATGTCCAGTGAGTTAAGCTGTGGAACAGTTTTGGATCAATGATTCAAATTAGTGGCCCGTGGGCTCATAAAGGTCAGGGCTGATTGTTTAGAGGCCAGGAGACTGTCTCATGAGAGCGTCTATGCTTCGCTAATTTTCAGTTGTAACTTTGGACCTTGGGCATGAACATGGCTGTAAACAATGGGTTGCAGGGGATTGCTATGTGAACAACTGACGTCACCTAAACATACCAAAGGGTGACGTCAGCTGTTCAAGAAATAAAGTCTTCAGCTCACTTTCAGCAATTTTAAATACTTTTAGTAATTCCTAGTTTGTGGCTGTGGTGTGTGCAGTGCTTCCTTAGCAAAATGTACCCAAGCTGAAGACAGCCAGACCGTTTTTGAAACCCCCAAGGTCCACTTCAGACCCCTCAAATGATTCACTTAAGAGAGTGGAAAACACTTTCAAACTTTACCGATCTGCTCCAAAGCAAATCAGTCTAAACAAGGCTATAGTGTTTGACTGGCAGACTTGCATGGTCTTAATGTGAGAAAGTTTCAACACATCCATTTATTGAACAAGGTGAGTGCAGCAGCTTGTCTCTGCTCTGAGTCCATCTGTCATCATCACAGAGTTGGGCCGATAAACAACAAGCACATTCATCACTGAGC